GGGTTGTCAGAGGTCGGGCACCATTGGCAATGGTGCCAACGCCTTTCGAAGCTCCTCCACAATAAAATTCACCACGTGTCATCTTCTGGGCAGGATGTGTCATGATTCCGAACTCCTTCGATGCAATTCTGATCAGCGGCATCAGACGGCTATTCCAATGCATTGTATGGCTAGTGGTTGAGGGGATGGTTCCTTGACTAACCTGAAATTGACACGCAGATTCTGTACTGGCACCAATGCATGTCAGTACTTTCTGACACATGTCAATCTGTAATAACACACATCATTACACAACATTGAGTCATGTCTTCAGGTCACCGTTAGTTTAGGCTGCCTTTCGTCTGGAGGCCATGTAAGGGGCACCAAAGGCCGCTGGGCCTTTTACTCTCCATTGGGGTTGCTTCAACAATGCTTTTATGTCATATCTTCAGGTCGTCTTTTTGTCACCATTAGGAGCTGCTTCAACGCCATTGGGAATGGTGTCGACACTCTCTACTTTCAGATCGCTCTCAGCTTGGTGGTCTGGAGTCCTCATATGCCTTGTTTCGTACTTCAAGTGCTTTAAGCTCTGTTTGAGTGTTTTATGAGCTTATGGGACCAGTTTACGAATGGGCAAAGGTATGTGCGAGTGGTTCAAGTACTGGGGTAGTTGGGCTGGGGTATTTTGATCCTCCGTGATTTCCTCAATCAGAATCGGGGTGTCTACATAAGGTCACTCTAGAAGGGAAATTCACAATGGAGGAGATTTGAAAGGCAATCTTCGAGCTACTAAAGAATAAAACACCGGGGGCAGATGGTTTCTAAATTAGTTTCTTTCAAGAATTTGGGATATAGTGAAATAGGATCTCCTCGCTCTCCTTTCACAATTCTATCATGGTGTGGTCAGCAAAGCTTGGAATTCTACTTTCATGGCCTTCATCCCAAAAAATATGTCCTTGAAGCCATTGGAGATCTGAAACCTATAAGTGTTTTATCTTCGATTTATAAGATATTGGGTAAGGTCCTAGCCAACAGACTCAAAAGGGTCAATCATGAGGTGGTTGATGGGCACGTAAACAACATTCATCTAGGGAAGGCAAATTATGGATGGCATCTTAGTGTCACAGGTGCTAATCCACACCACTTAAAAAGAAGCCAAGAAAATCATTTCTATGCAAATTGGACTTCGGAAAAGCTTATGACGGAGGAGAGTGGGATTATTTGGAGGAGATCATGGTGATGGGGTTTGAAAGTCGATGGAGAATGGTGATTAAAGGCTGCTTATCCTCAACTCAATTTTCAGTATTAGTCTATAGGAAGGCATGCAGATATTTCTGTGCTATCAAGGGACTTCGCTAGGGGGATTACCTATCCCCTTTTCTATATACCCTAGTAGGTGAAAGTGTGTTAAAAAAAGGTTTACTAAGGGGTTCACCAGTCACAACTAATGAAATGTTTGTTGCATATCTTCAATATGCTGATGATACTCTTATTTCACTTGAAACCACAATGAGCAGATTGAAAACATATGGCTATTCCTTAAATTCTATGGAGTAATATCAAGGGCAAAAATCAATATGACAAAAACTAAATTAATGGGGAGTTGCTGCTCAGATGAGGAACTCACAGATTGGGCATCTTGGTTACAATGCGCCACTGAGACATTGCCCTCTCAATACTTGGGGATTCCTTTAACTGATGGTAGGTTACCTCCATCAGCTTGTGATCCAATCGTTTAGAGATCCTAATTTAAATTAAATGCCTAAAAAAGTATATTCTTATCTTTTGAGGGTAAGATAACCTTGATCAGAACAATTTTATCAAATATACCTATATATTACTGCTCCTTGTATAGGGCATCACAATTTTTAATCAAAAGGGCACCAAGTCTTCAATCAAACGATTAGAAAGGATGATGAGGACTTTTCTTATGACCTGGCTCAAGTGATAAAACCAAATTTAATTTAGTCAGTTGCGTGAAAGTCTGCTTACCAAGGAAGGAATGAGGTCTTGGAATTAGAAGATTAAGAACAATGAATGAAGCCTTACTAACAAAATGGTGGTGAAGACTTAACCATAATGATTCATAGCTATAGCAGCAAATAGTATTCGAAAAATATGGAATGGACTTGATTACTTTGTTCCAAAAAAATTACCACAAAATGATTGTACTTCTACAGTTCGGGAAGGACTCAATTAAGTAAGAAACTTTTTTATTTCTCATGCCAAATTCTTAGTTGGTGATGTTTATAAGGCAAACTTCTAGTATAACAAATGGTCAGGAATCTCACCTCTAAAGCTTCAATACTTAGATCTCTATAGCAAAGCTGTAAATAAGAACACATCCATATGTGACATGGAGAATGGAGAAGGCAAAACAACTATTTGAAATATAATTCTCAATATCATAAGAATAGATGGAGTTATAGAACACCAATTTTTATCATTAATTGAAGCTCTTTATACATTTTTTACTATCCGAAATGAGAGGACCAAATAATACGGGAACTTAACACCTAAGGTATTTTCATTGTTAAATCCTTGCTCTTCTTGTTAAGGACAGATATGTGGATAGTAGGAGCATGAAAATCAGGGTCACTAAAGTCCCCATAAGAATGAAGGCCTTTCTATGGCTTTTGGAACAAGATCAAACACACTCTATCGAAAATTTGAGTAAAAGGGGAGTCATAGTGGCAATGTGTGCATATTGTGCAAACAAGATGCTGAAACAAATTCCCATCAATTCCTTTGTTGTCCTTATGTCTCAGAGTAAGAGTTTATCTTCTTGGCATTGGATAACACTTGGAAGGATTCAAGACTTCTTCCATCAGAATCTTAATCTACCATTTCCAAAAGGTGGTAAGCTTTTATGGAGAATAACAATGGCTGTGATCTACTGAAATTTATGGAAAAAGCGAAATGTAAGAATATTTTAAGATAAAACAAGGGAGGTGCAACAAGTGATTAATATGACATTGTCCACATTGTCCAATGGGTGAAAGCTTTACCGGAATTCAGAGACGATTTATGTAATTTAATGATGGGATCTAAGGCCAAAGTTCTAAACAACTGAATCTGGTGCCCCCCCTTAGGAGGGATGGTATAAGCTTAACTTTGATAGAAGTATGAGAGGTGAGGCTCAAGGGTTGGATATAGAGGTTTGTTGAGGGATAATCATGGAAATATCATATGGACATACAAATGATCTTTGCAAATTGTGATATAAATAAGGTTGAAGTCCATGCTTTGAAGGAAGGGGTACTGAAGCTCATAGCAGATCAGAGGTGCATCATAGTGGTAGGTGATTCAGTTAATGTAATTGGCGAGTGTAAGGATCTTATGACTGCTCCATAGGTTTTGACTCTATTGGTGAACCATATTTCTATGCATCTAAAAAGGAAACAGGTGGTGTATCAGCATGTTAACCAACAGAAATTCAAAAGCTGATGCATTAGCAAAGGAGGTCACTTTCTCAGCAGAAACCAAAAACTTCTTGAATATATATGTTATTCCTTAGTCATATTTTTTTACTTTGTCTTTTCTTTTTTCCTTCTTTTGTCCTTCAGCTATTGTAGTTGTTCTTTCTTCATTGCTATTTTTCATCTTTTTTCTTTTCCCTATACTTATCATGTAATTCTTTTCATGTTCTCAATGAAAGGCTAACTTAACATTTAAAAGAAAAAAGAAAAAAGAAAAAAGAAGATACATGAAGCAAAAAAGAAGGCCAAATTTACTTCATAAAGTGGACGTCAATGGTGGAGATGAAAGTTGCATGTTCTCATTTTTTCGGAACTCAGATCTTCCTAAATTCATTTGCTAGTAACACTTCCTCTTGTTAAAATAAGTGACACAATATAGTAAAAGCTTTTAAATTCTAAAGTTAAAACTTCCAATTATCAAACGTTACGATGAATGTTCGTTTTTTGGGATGATATAGTCTCTATATGATGTAGACACTTAAAGGGTGCACAAGCACCCTTTCAATAGTTCACAGTGAACCTAGCCTCACCTGATAGTCATAAATTATTTTCATATTTTTTTAGTTTTCTTTTAAAAATAATTTTTTCTAAAATTTGGGTTGTAGATTCATTTTTGTATAGTTTATTAAATAAAAATAAGAAAAATATTTAGAACAAAAAGATTGACCCAAATACTTCTAAAATTTAGAAAAATCCCTGAATTGTTTCAAGGGTATTCTGGTCAATTTAGGGGCATTATCGTCAATCTTTTTGTTCAAACTAATAGATTTTGTTATTTTAATTTGGTACATGAAAATATATATGTTCTTTGAGTTTTAGATAAAGATAATTTTTAAATAAAAATAAAAAAAAATACAAAATTAATATGTATCCATTGAAGCCTGTTTCAATATGAGGCCGTCCAAAAACTTCCCCCTTATTTTTTTCCACCTTTTTTCACTCCATTTAATTGTTTTTTGGTCTTCCTCTATCTCATAAGTATTAATCAATCTTTTTCCTCTTTTTTTTTTTTTTACCATTTTTAGGTTTTGATGCAAGTTATATAAGGTCTACGCTTTATGAAAACAAAGTAAAACCTCAACTCTAACCCTCCTCCAGAAGGTACTTTGGGCATCGAAAATCCCCTTAACGGCTCTAAAGTCATTTTTAAAAAGTGGCTACAAAGCTTTAAGCTAAAAAGAAGGTACAGATCTTGCGGATATGTAAATATTTAATTTTTTTTAGAAAAAAATATGTAGTTTAGATATTGTCTTACAATATATACTATTTTTAAAACTTAAAATTTTAATTTTTTTCACTACCATAATAGACAAGACCAAGATAATTGATTTAAAAGTTTTTCAACACCAAACATAGAATTTTCAATAAGTTTAATTGTGAGGCTTTGTTTATTTTGATTGTGAGGCTTTACTTATTTTTATAGGGGTGCAGCCCTATCAAAACATTTTCTTTTTGAATTTCATCAACTGTTTGGTTCCTTGCATTTCTCTCTCTTGCTTATGATGCAATATTCTCAAACATAGCTTCTTGAGCAAGCATGACTTTCTAGAGAGAGACAGAGGCCCGTTTGACTCCATTTCCGTTCACTTTCTACCCTATAACTATAAAAGCTAGTGAGAGAAAGCCATTCAGTGTTCTCACTTGGGCAGTAAGGCTCGACGATCTCAGAGAACCAGTGAAGAGTAGAGGAAGCGTGCGTATTATGAGATTATTATCAGTGAATTTGAATTCTAGGGCATCAGTAGTTCTCCTCTTGATCCATGGGCGAGCTCGATGGGCTCCCTCCTGGATTTAGGTTTGTCCCTACTGAGGAAGAACTGGTTTCTCATTATCTCAAGAACAAGGTTTCTGAAACTAGGTCACCCAACTTTAATCCTGATATAATCAGAGAGCTTGATATTTACAACCATGAACCCTTTGATCTTCTTGGGATGGCTTCTTTCCCGAATGAAAACCAGTTATTCTTCTTCGCAGAGAGGACGGCCCCTATTTTTTCACGTAAGGTTAGGGTTACAGGGGGTGGTTATTGGAAAGTCGTTGGTCGTAAGCGTCCTGTTGTTTCAGGAAGGGAAGGGGTTGTGGGGTTTAAGACGACTCTGGTTTTCCACAAGGGTAGGGCACCTAATGGAGAGAAGACAGACTGGAGAATGAAGGAGTATGTTTTGGCGAGTGATCGCGATGGAATTAGGGTATGTGCATTTTCTTCGCATTATTTTCCTTACTTCTGCATTTATATGAGCAGTTTGTTGTCTTTCTATTGGTTTCAAGAGTTATCAGAAAGGGGAATAGATAGTATGGGTTTCACATTTAACATATTGCTAATCCGTGCTTTCGATGGAAATTTTTTATGATTGGTTTTGTGATAGCAGGAAAAGCCGTGATGGGTGAATCACATTAAGTTTGATTGGGAAGGAACTTACCTCTATATTTCTGAAGTGCATCATGCTTGTGTTGATTCCTGTGTTCTCTTAATGGCTTTTTGGTAATGTGATATAGACATGAACATGGATGCTATGCCCTTTTACTTGCGGTGTGTCTGAGAATCATTTTGAATGATAGAGATGAGCACTCCCATGGAACCTATATTAAAGGCGACTTTCAGAATCTACCTGTTAACAATCTTTTGTCTTGAAATTGGAAATCCTTCAGACATAATTGATAAATCCACTAGAACTCTTCAATGAAAAAAATATACCACGTAAGACCAGATTGACTTGTGACATTTGAAGGGGCCCCTACGTTTGCATGTGAAACATCAAATAAACTTGTGGTTATTTGAAAAGGCAAGTAGCAAATGTTTTCAGGCATTCAACCAGCGTTATCAAGAGAAGAGAAATATTAGAAAGTCATTTAATATTTCAAAGCAAGGATATTATTTGATAGTTGCCATATTATAAACTAAGCACATAGATTTTTATGGTGGAGAAGCATAGAATATTCTTTGGTTGAGCGGAAAAAACAGAACGTAGGAATTCTCCAATAGAGACATGTAACTTGGGGAGAACTTGTAATTTAAACAAAAGATTATTTAGAAAGTTGCTTAAGGGATAAACAAAAGGAATTTCAATCATTGGGTTAGATGCACCTGGAGCAATTCACTAACCATTAGAAGTAAAAACTATGGCTAAGACAACTCAATTGAGTGTGAAAAATAACAGGATCATGTTCTGAATTGAGTCAAGAACATTGTATCTAAGGTTAGAAATGAAGGAATGTTAGCTTAGCCCATAGATGTGGGGAACTCAGTTGGAGGGTGGCCGGCCCCCCCCTCAGAATCTTGCACCGGCAATTCCAGGGTAGGAGCTTGAGTAGAAGAGTGCTCCTCTTGTAAAGGGAGCTTGATTCCTATCTTATAAGGATATGGATCTCTAAATAAAAGGGTTCTTGATTGCTTTGGAAGGGGATCACGACCCCCTAAAATTGGCATGCTATCATGGTTTGAAGGGATCTGGATACTAGGGGAAGTTTTTAAAATTACTGAAGTTTGAACCCTACATTTTTTATTTGATGATTTTTTATTTTTTTCTCCTTTTCTTTTTGTTGATTTTCTAGCTAAAGACCACCTCTAGATGATTCTTGTTTTATGTTTTCATTGTCGTTGTTTGCATAAGTGGTTGAAGACTGAGGAACCGATTCAGAATCACTTGAGTTAGCTTCGATTTGGGGGGCTTCCCGGGTCCAAATAGTCTTAAAGAGCGGAATTGCCAGGGTTGTCTAGAACCAGTTAGTTCTCACTATGGCAAATCACCATGTCTTATCTAGTTAAAGACTCTGACGATTCTTAAGTTCAGTTCTTATCATGACCCACCCTCCAATTTCGTTTTCTCAAATTTTTAAGGGACTTTCAAGCTTAATATTCTCATTGTACATGTATAGATGATGTTAAAAATCTGATTATGGATTTCTTAATTGTTTTTAAATCACTTTAAAAATGGAATTGTATGGTATGTATGTATATATATTTATGTGTGTGTGTGTGAGTGTGTATAGGATACAGTTTCTATAAAGCCGAGGCTTTATGAAAATAAAGTAAAGCCTCACTTCGAATCGTCATCGGGAAAGCACTTTGGGTATTGGAAATCTCCATGATGGCTCTAAAATCAATTTCCAACACTGACTATGAAATGTGAAGCTCAAAACATGATACAGATCTTGCGGATCCATGAACACTTACTGCTAGGACGAAATAGAAGGTCTAGATAATATGTTGTATGTTATGTGTGTATATATATATATATATATATATGCATGTGTGTGTGTGAGTGTGTATAGGGTACAGTTTCTATGAAGCCGAGGCTTTATGAAAATAAAGTAAAGCCGCACTTTGAATCCTCGTCGGGAAAGCACTTTGGGTATTGGAAATCTCCATGATGGCTCCAAAATCCATTTCCAACATTGACTATGAAATTTGAAGCTCAAAACAGGGTACAAATCTTGCTGATCCATGAACACTTATTTCTAGGACGAAATGGAAGGTTTAAATAATGTGTTACATTTTACACTGTTTTTAGGTCTTGAAATCCTTATTTTTTTTCACAAGTCACGATATAATAATCAAGCTGAGATGATTGATTTGAAGGTTTTCCAATGTGAGAACTACAATTTTCGGTGAGGTTCGAAGTGGGGCTTTACTTATTTTGATAGGGTTGCAGCCATATCAAAACATTTTCCACACACACACACACACAGAGGCACGAGCGCACACCGACCAACCCACACACACACACATATGTACCAACCCCGCTTCCTGAGCAACATCTCAGGCGTGCCCAAGGTAGGAAGTTTCAGCCATGACCCGATTCCAGGCTTCTAATCGCACTCCAGCTCCTGCTCCCAACATCTTAGGCTTAACCTTCATTTCTTGGACGAATGATTTCCATTGCAGTATAATTATTTTGAAAAGAAACTTTCCAGTGTTCAAGAACTCAAACTCAGTCTTGACTTAGTTGCAACCAAAACTGAGTCAACCTGCTCGAGCTTTTCAATTTTGGAAAAAAATTATATGCCAGCAGTAAGTTAAGAACTTGAGACCAAGTTTAATCTGAGAAGCACATATTGCCATGTAGCCTACAATATGATATGGTATTAGCATATTATAGATATTAAATCCGGATTAGTTATATTATGAAATGAAAAACTTTGCCAAACCAGTGTTTTTCATAATAATCGAGGACTCCGCTGGTTGAGGTCATTTGTATGAGTCGTAAAATGAGTTTTTGAATGCTTTGTAGTATGGCAATTGCAATCTGGTACTGTGCATTGGCACTTTGGTGTATTAACATTTTGAAGCTTGTTATAATATTGGGAAACCAGTTTCGATGTAGAAGATGAACTACTTCACTATTGCTGTTATGTGGTATGATTTGTTTCATTCTCGATGAAGAATTTAGTAAGAATGCGGTGACAGTACTAGAGTAGTGACTATTCATATTTCTGACATCTACTATTTGTTTATCAATCAGGGGATGGTACTCTGTTTAATCTAACATTTCATACTTGGGGCTTAATCCTTTAAATAATTTCAGAAGATTAGGTCTAGTAACATATTATCCTTAAGTCCAGGAGATAGTCTAAGACAGGTAAGTTAATAAATTGAGAAATGTCATTTTGTCAATTTAAATCTCTGATATATACTTCTGTATTTCTAAAACTGGTGGGTACACCTAAATTGTACTTTATATGCAATTCAAGAGAGTACATATCAAAGCAATAGTTTTCTTCCCAGCTTTTATATATAACCTTTCTGAACCGTCTTTCTGAACCGAAATTGCTAACTAGTTCTATCTTGAAGGTTCACGGACCCATTGATGTGCCCATTTAGATTCTTGCCCACTGACAAAGTCCCCCTAGTAGAAGCTCATGGTGATGAATGTAATGAGTTTTGGTATAATAGTAGCGGAGGAAAACACTGGATCGATAATTTTCACATATTTATATAAGTGATAACAAAGTATCGATCTTTAAACCAAGCTCCTGTTTTCTCTCATAAATCTTCTGAAACTCCTCTTACATGCATAAGATTGGTATCAAAGTTCATGAGTTGGACAGAGACTAGGATTTAGGATTTTACTTATCTATAGCACTTGTTAACTGACATATCAAATAGGGACAGCGTACTTTAGTCATTAAAGCTACAGATAATACTGGTTATCCGGTTGATCAATAGTGATCAACAATTGTCAAATGATAGTGGCATTACCTGTGAATTTTTGTTAAGAGTACAGGGAGGCTGCTAAAAGATTGTTCTATTGTAAATTACTTGGATCTGGAAAAGGAAGGGTAGACTCCATCAATCTTTCATGAGAATAGGAGCATTTGAACCGGATGTACCAATGTTCATTGATTCCATGTGAGTACTTGGTGTAACCTGAATTGCCAGACATTTTAGTTTATAGGAGAAAGAAATGGGGAACTCTTTCATGAAGATTAGCTCATTTGAGGATGTTAGAGTAGATCAACAATTGACTGTCTCGTTTATACCTTGATATCACCTTCAGTGACTTGATGGGGCTTAAATTTATTTATTTATTTATTTTGAAAGGTCTTCATGGGGCTTAAATTATGTGATAAGTATACATGGGTTGAGATCTTTGTCAATATTTCCAAAGATATCGGTCTTTTTCAATTTTTGCGATAGTGAAGACCTCTTTTTGTGCCATATTCTGAAATCGTTTTTATTTCTTGGTTATGATTGACAACTTGGGGCTTGGAGTAGTTCTAATTTACAAGGTGGAGACTGGATGTTCATTTCTGGTAATTGTTATTACGAACTGGTTATGGTATTTTATGTTGTTCATATTTTCCTTTGTGTTATTATTTAAAATTATGTTATACTTCTGTGCGAATTCCTTTTCAAACATCCCTGTGGAAGCTGGCTATGTAGAATATAAGACTTTTGAATACACACCAGCAAGCACATATGCTTACATGCGTGTACACCAAGTTTTTCATGCCATTGTATTTTACGTGTCATTAGACCAAATTGATACACACTCAACTCTCCTATTTGGGGGCTCCTATGAAATATTAATACTAATATTATATTCATTTTCCTATTTTGCGGTAGGGTGTAGCAAAGATTTGGGCAGCTTGCTTATAGTGAAACCTGTACCTGAATCTATACAGTAAATTTAAATAATCTTGGGTGTAGAATTCTAGAATTCCAATGACTTCCCTGGGTCTTGGTCTGCCGCTACCAGTCTTTACTACAAGATGAATACCCAGTCCCCGATAGCTTACCCTATGGACATTTGTGTCAGACTACCAATTCATGAGCGCTGGCTCATGGTTTATGACCAATTGATTAAATGCATTAATCATGAAACCAGTGGTTACCAGTCCCCGGTAGCTTACCCTACGGACATTTGTGTCAGACTACCAATTCATGAGCGCTGGCTCATGGTATATGACCAATTGATTAAATGCATTAATCATGAAGCCAGTGGTTGATCAGCCGAGAAGGGAAACCCTGATACTTATGAAGCATTGAAAAGCTCCCACAATTCTAGCATTCAGGCTTGCGATATGCATTGGAGGAGATAAGTTTATAAATTATAGTGGAAATGAACATTATGTTCTACTTTTCATGGGATTGTTATTGTATATTATGAAACCATTTATTTTTATTGCAAGGAAGTCCCAATTGCTACTAGCTATTGAGAAGGTATGGCTATGTGGAATTCAAAGTAATAAATTAAAAAATTTTCCTTTTTAACTTTTATTTATAGCTAAATTCTACTTACATGGGCCACAATACACTACTGAAAATCAAAAAATAAAGCCCTAGATACAACCTAGGACCTTTCTTTGTACTGCCAAAGCAAATAAACATAACCCACGAGCAATATCCAGTCTTCCACTATGAATTTAAGTACAATACATGTTCTTGGAAATCACATAATGCATGCCAATATGATTGAAAAGTAAATAAAAACAGCTGGGAAGACTTACGTGGTCATGCCTAGGGTTACCCCCACAGGACTTGATACACCCCAAATTTGATTCCCTGTCCTATGACTCACTTTTGTCCCTTTTGATCTTGTTGGAAATTTTGGGAAGCTTCATAGGCAAAATCTCTTACTCTAGGGTTTTAGAGAGCATGGAAACCTAACTAGGGTTCGTACGAACCCTTACGAACTAATTGGGGCTGGCCTTGAAGGCATAAAATCCTCCTTTAGCTGGGCGTACCCTTTTTTCTTCTCCAAACAGCTAAACCTAATTAGGGTTTCAATGTGCCACCCTTGTCTTATCAAATTTTGGGTGGGTGGCATGACCCTTTAAAGAAGGGAGGAGAGAGATAAATGAATTTTAATGGGAGAAAGAAAGAGAATTTTGGTGTATGGAGGAGAGAGAAATATGTTTGTTGAGAGAGGGGGGCTCAATGGTGTTTAAATAGAAAGAAATTCCTTCTCCTATTTGGATTAAAATTCCTTCCTTGATATTGTTTATCCAATGACACAACTTGACTAATAGGAACTTAGGAAAATCTTGTGGGGTGAGAGAGAGCAAATCTGAGCCATCCATCCTTCAAATCAGCCAACATGATTTTGGGAGGATTATTAGGACCTTTATCCCCTTATAATTTGACCTAAGTCCTTCTATTTAAATTAGAATTATAACCAATCCAAAACTTCCTCATATCTTTTCAAAACTTGTATGAAGTCCAAATAATTAGAGTTATAGTCAAACGAAACTCATAATGAAACAATCTTTTAATATTTAAAAGACTTCCCTAAAATAGACTGTATTAAGTGGTCCCCACAATGGCCCATATCCCCGCCATGGGTGGCACACATGTGGGGCTGGATCTTGGGCCCCACATGTGCCATTCCTAATTTTAGAAATTATGAAAATGCCCTTTTGAGGGATTTTACAGCATAAATAAATCTTTAAAATTTTGCAAAATATTGTAAAAATCATAAAAACATTTCTAATACTAAAATGAAATATTTAAAAGTGGACTAGTACAAATGGGTCAAAATTAGTGACAATAAGGGCACTCCACTTGACCCAATAACTATGATCCACTATTGTTTTCTCATCCAACCCAACAAAGACTCATGACCCACAGTCTCAATGGTGGGTCTCATAATTGGCTCGTTAAAGTTGGTCAATAAACAGTGGAACCATGATCTTGGAATGTAGATTTCAGTCTCTCCCCCCCTTTAAGAGCAAGTCTAGCACTTGTCATTACAGTGCAAATGAGGCTTTCTCTATGTACATATACACATGTCCATGCTTCCCAGTAATACGGCTGTCATGTGTACATGACACATAAAAGTTTGTTGAGGCTTTAGCCCCTGCTTTCATAGGCCTACAGCCGCCACATAGGAGCTCCCACAGTTTTCATGGCTTACAAACATCATCCATGGGCATCTCTCCGACCTCAACAAGGGATGACCCACTGTAAACCCTTCTCAGTAGTGCCACATGCAGACCCACTGTAAACCCTTCTCAGTAGTGCTATGTGCACAGTGGTAAGGATTTTGGACATGACCAGGGCTATAATCTACCCAACCTATGGTCAGTCAACACACACGCTCTTATTAAAGTGCATATTTCACTATAAAGTATCATTTTTACAAGCTCTCTAGGCCTTTAAAGGTCAGAAACCCAATAGCTATTAGATATCAAATTGGATGGCCTAAGGTGTGATGCAAGTTCAAGAAATTTGTTTTTTTCTGAGATTTTTTTCTTTCTTTTTCTAAACTTTGAGTCTAGTCAATGACGCACTCAGAACCACCTAATTTGAAATTTGTCAATAAAGAGTGATTGTGACCTCCTTGTATTAAAAGTAAATGGTCTCTTTACAAATGAGTCATTTTGTTCCTACACTTTTGTATATAAATAATATGCATGTGATAAGCACATTATTTATGGATGATGTGAATATTGTCAGTGAAACGAAATAGCTACTACAATATATTTGATCATGCCTCTCGAGAAGGAATCACTCTTTTTCTCCATCTTTCCTTCCCCTTCCATAACTCTTAAGATACTGCTGATGAAGCGATTTGAGGTTCTGATTGGCAATTGAACCCTTACTTTTGCTATTCTTCTCTGAGAATGGGCATTAATATCATAGACACAGGGGTGCCTAGAATTTTTCTCTGTATTTTGGAGTGGGACTAGCAAAAACAGAATGTCAACTAGCCATTTAAAATAATTGTTTACATACTTTGATTGTTAAGGATCAGGTTTTTTGTCTTTTGCCGTCTGTTTCTTCCATAACTTGGAAACCGTTCGATTTTTCTTTCTTGGCTTTTGTAATCAGGGTACTCACGCTCTATGCCATATATACCTGAAGTCTCCAACCAAAAAACGACAAGTAATTTGTGAAAGCAGTTTTGTGCAAGATGGGGCTGTCACAATAGGTGCTTGCTGCAATGATGAAATTTGTTATAGACAGCAGGGTGGAACTCCCTTACCTGTGATTTGGGAGGTTAAGGAGGAAGAAGAGACCTTGATTCCCCAAGATGATGAGCTTCACAAGCTTCTGTCAGAAATGTTGGATGCCGAGACTGGCAGCCAAACTTGGGATGCTTTACCAACCACTGCAAGTAGTTCTATGACCAATCAAATGGTAAGGCTATGAGGATACATGTTCTTGTCATAACTTGTCCGAGAATGTACTGCAAAGGCTTTAGTCCTTTTTTTTGGATCTATTATCTTCTCGTTGTCTGTCACATGAATATACGCATGCATACACTGTTTAGGGACTTGTGTTTGAACTAGATAAATCCAACTGCCTTTCAGTTGAGCAATGGGTTCAAACCCTAAGAGAGTGTGTGTGTGTGTGTGTTTTAACCTTATTTTGTAGAAGTAAAGGGCACTTCAAAAACTCGACGGAGTTGTTCCAACGTTGGTAAACTCTACAATTTCTAGACCTCGAGATGTATGGCAATGAAAGATAAAAGGATTTTAAATCCCGAAAATAATGCATATTATATCACATTATCTGGATTGTCTATTTTCAAGTTTTTTTAGTGTTTATAGATCAACTTGATTTGCACCTTTTTTTGGAGCTTTAATTTTGACAATGCACCAAATAGACGGCTAAGATTAACCTATTTTCCCTCACCTACATGAGGTTGAAAAAATACAAATAAAAATTCACACAAAAAGGGGAAACAAGAGTCATCCATTTTTTGTGATCCATTTGGTGGATAATGAATCTAGGCCTTCAAGAATAAAAATTAGTTTTTTTTTTTGGGGTATTGTTTGTCCTTCCAAGATGTGGTTTTAGCTTTAAGCCTGTTAGCTTGTAGAATCTTACCCTCCACTCCAAAAATAAAAATAAAAACCACCACCTACGCAGCCACACAGGCATATCTGCATACACAGACACATATACACACATGAAGCACACCTGTTCGATTTATGTGCTGATTTTGGAAATACTGGCATTGTGTTGTGAAATATTTCTAATGAGAGGTCCTCTAGTTTTGATCTTAAAAATTGATGTTAATTTAGGGAGTGTAATAATAATATTGATCGATTAAAGCTAAAATACAGGTGCAATTTGCATAAAAGATGAGATTTTGTGTGTATACAATCGGTCTCATGTATTTCTGCTCAGTAAATTTTGAATAGATATGCATCTCTATTTTGCATACTATATCCTACACCTCTAACAAAATGTTGTCATTCAGGCTATTGATGAACCGGTTCAGAATGTTATTAACTGGTGTCCGGTGCCATTCATTAGTGAATCTGTGAAGCATGGCATCATCCAGGGTGAATGGAATAAAATGTGCAATCGTGCGCTTTTAGATGGAGACTACATTGAGTTAAATGATTTGGTTTCTCCTCTCGCAGATTCGAGCTCCTTTCGATGAGAAGAAAACCTACATAGGTAACTGAATTATCCAGTTCATTAACTGGGACGCTGATTAAATCAGGACATTGATTATCTGGGACAACTTCGTTTATTAACTGGCACAGCATCAAGTTTTGGTATGAGAAAGAGGCAGATCCTCTCGTTTTATCTCTACATAGGTAACTGAAAGAAGGAAAAAAATGATTTTTCTCAGAAAGATGTGGAACCGGTCACAAGGTAAGCTTGGTTTTGGAAGCATCACTCTTGAAATTGGCAGCAATTTCTCCATAAATATGAGGTAATCTGTTTGATTGCAATTACTTTGTTGTGGAAATTGTAATATTAAAAAAATTATCATATTGATGGTTCTAACAAGGCTAAGCTTCTTTGATAATAGGCACTCCTCACTGTGTTTGTAGAATTGAGTGCTCTTGCGATGCGAAATGCCAGGCAAGCTTGATGCCATGACAGAGCATATGTTTTGACTGTTACTTGTCATCATTCTTGATGACCATCTCCCATGAGAAAATAATGGCTTTGTTTATCCTCGCCATCTGGTGGAGGTTGTTTATTCCTTAAATGTTCTCTCTCTGTAACTTAAGGCCGATGATGGCCTCTAGATGCTAGATGCTTTTATTCTGTGGCATTTCTAAGATATTATTAAGTTGTGTGGATGCTGTTTATTTTAAATCTCATAGATTATACTTGGTATTGGAAGCACATGCTGTGTGGATTTTGCAATTTATAATCTATTGGTATTACAGGTTGTTCTACATGAACTTTTTAGAATTCTGTGATGTCAATCCCGCTGTTTGGATTTTGCAATTTATCAATAAAATAAAATACTGCAATCAGTAGGGATAGGGATATGCAAAATCCATGCTATGGGCAAATGCTCTTGGAGGGAAGTAGTGGAAAACCAGCCTACTATGGCCATGAAAGAGGGGGTTAAGTCTTTTTCCTTTGGAGCTGTCCTTGACATAATCAAAGTAGGGGAAGACAGAGGCTTGTGATGGTGTTTATAAAGACATCATGGCAATTCTTTTTTTTTGGCTCTGTTTTGCGCTTCTATTTTCCAATTTTGCATCAGTTTTTCTGAATTACTGGAGTGGTATACAAATGAGACTATTTGCTTTAGTATAAGGACATCAACGTCAAATTTTAATCAGGCGGTTGTGAGGGTGTCATTGATTAGACTCAAATTTCAAAAAAGAAATTTGATTGTGAGGGTGTCATTGATTAGACTCAAAGTTCAAAAAAGAAATTTATCAAATGTCATGATAGGTTTTAAGTCATCCAAATTGATATTTGATGGTTGGACTAATTATGATTTCTTTGGAACAAAGATAAATGGTCTTATATTATACAATCCCTTATCAATATATTTCGTGATATCATTCCAATGCAAGCAACTTGGAGGGAATGTAGCTTTCATTTAATTAAATTAATTGATTTTATGATTTTATAAAGAAAGTTCTACAAGAACTACCCAGCAAATTGCTACATAGGTGGCAATAACATGAAGAGGTGGAAATTAAAACACTAACCACCAATTCAATCAGTGGTCACACACCACAGCATACATGAGACTTTGATCTAGTTGTAATGCATGAAAAACGAATGAAAAATGCAAGATATTTTAGTATCCCAGTCAATTTTTTTAGACAAGATATTTTAGTATACCAGTCGATTTTTTTAGACAAGATATTTTAGTATCCCAGTCGATTTTTTTAGACATCACAACTTTGTTGGATTAGTAGGATTACGGTGAAATTTCTAGTTGAAACATAGTGAAGGAGACGAGGAAATAAAATTTTTGAAATTCTTGAGGGCAAGCTTCTTGTTGCAATTAGGATTTTTATTATATTATTTTATTACTTTTTACTAATGGAAAGTTCGGATTAGAGGTTATTGGGGTTGTTGGGTTTCTTTCCTTCTTGAGGTTTTGATTTAATTGTGGTTGATATTTCTCTGGAAGCAAGTTAGGTACTAAGGTTTTTATTTATATATAAGTATTGCACCAATAATATATATATTTTTTAAATCATATAAATTTTTTTTTGAGGTGGTAGACCCTGGTTACAAATACAATAGCCACTCTTTATTTATAATTTTCTCATTGTTTATGTTCTTTCCCCTTGTTTCTTTGAATCAATCTTGCACTCAGATTTATGATACATACCCAAAAGACACATCAGCTAGTGATCAGCAATATTTCATATATTTAACCTTACTTTCACCATAATGTTACACATAACATCTGGGCCAATTAGTATCTTCTACACTCCCTTTCCCTCAACCTAAAGAGAGTACAGTTGATTATCAACTAATGGAAGCAATGTCATGCATGTAGCACCTTTGAACTCTCTCTCTCTAAATTGCAGCATGCACATTTATCTTAATAAAGCCATCATCTTTTTAAGGGAACTCTCTAAATTGCGGCATGCACATTTATCTAAATAAAGCCATCACCTTTTTAAGGGAAAGGGATTTGGGTGGTGGAAGCACCCCACACTCTAGTCACTACGTTGTGGTTTTCATTTCCACCACTAATATTATTCCACTAATACTTTAAAAAAGCTAACTCCTAATCTACTTGAAAAAGTAGATAGAGGCACATCTTCTCCACTGAATTACCCAAAAAAAAAGCCATCATCGTTTAAAAATCGAATTATACAACAAATTAACCTAACCTTGGATTATAACCGAGGAAAAACCGGTTTCATGCCCGGACTAGAAAATGGCTTATACCAGCAAACCAGAGGAATTATTTTTTTTTTTTTTTTTTCATAAAAAAAATGGTATCAACTGAATTGGGTTTTAGTATTTGGTCTATCAATTGCAAATAGCCGGTGTGAATCTGCCTGGTGCAACAATTAAAACCTCAGATAAATAAACTCAGTTTGTCCCCTACATGGAAAGAGTCCAAATATAAAAAGGAGAAGTTTATATAGAGGCTACGCTCTACACAATCAAATTAGAACCTACCCAAAATTTTTTATTAGAAGAGGTTGTTTTGATCCCCAAATATCAGCAATTGATCATCTAGGCATCAAGATGCATAGGCATCAAGATGCATGGACATCAGAAAAAAAATGGATTTCAAGTGTTGAAAATAGTGCATATTGTAACGTATTTTTGGACCGTCAATTTTTAAGTTTTCATAGATCTGCTCGATCTATACTATTTTAGCTTTAAATTTTATAATTAAATATGAACATATATTTTGAGGCTATGACAAAAATTTCCAACATTGAAACCATATTTCTCGAGACTATTTAAAGGTAGGCTCTAATTTGCTTGCTTAAAGCCTCGGCTTTATACAAACTGCACCCAATATAACAAGGGTGCCTAAATTGAACATATATCAAGTATGAGTGACACTTCCAAGGTGAGTCAATCTATCGGTTAAGGTGTCGAGCCGCCATGTGATGTCTTGAGTTCCATTTCTATTATAGGAGAAGACCCCTGTCTTACTAAACTACTCCCGAAAAGAAAAAGACAAGAAGAAAAAGAAGAAGAGGCGGTTTACGATTGTGTGTTGCTATTTAAGACACCCATGGAAGTCCTGCCTAATACAAGTTAGCAAGGCTCCCTTTAAAATACGATTTTTTCAAAGAATTTTTTATTTTTCAAAATCCATTAAGAACTCTGAGTTTTTCAAAAGATATTAAAAAAAATGCATTCTTTTAATGGAACTGATATATAAATCTATATTTTATCTTTTTTCAAAAATAATTTTAAAAAAGCTTATTCTCTATAACTTTATTTCTTTATTGACTTAGTTTTATTGAATTTTGATTTAAAGATAAGCACATTAAAAATAGGAGTAAATTAATAATCTTAATTTAACAAAAAAATTCCATAAATGATTTCACCAATAAGTTCCCTTGAAAAAATGTACAAAAAGATACAAGCAATATATTCCCCAAAATAATAAGATATCAGGACACTCATATATCTCAAAATAATAGGTAGAGTTAGAAGAAGTGTAACCTAATGAAATTTTTTTTATTTTCTTTAAATCCGGAGTGTCTTTATAAAGAGCAATAGAGAGATTCAATTATACTAAAGATGGGTACAATTTCCATATGGACGCCTCCGTAGGTGTAGAGGTACGGTGCCCTTCAAATTTTATCATGGTATATAATTTTGATGTAAAATGCTATTAGGATTATCTCAAAATCTATTTTTATATCTAATTATAAAATTTTCAATTTAAAAAATAGTTAAAATCAAGCAGATCTATAAACATATGAAAACCTTGAAAATGGATGGTGTAGATAATATGTTGTAAAATGCACTATTTCTGAGACTTAAAATCTTTTTATTTTTCATAGTCATACATCTTGATGTCGAGATGATCAATCAAACGATTTTTTAACATTAAAACTACCTTTTTCGATGGATTTTTGAGGGGCATATGTAGTTCTACATTATAAGGTAGCATCCTTATATAAACTTTTTCCACTAAATATTTAGGCATCTAGAAATTCAGTGTGACATTTGAATTTTCTTTAAGTTATTTTTTGTTTTCTTTGTGCATAGAGAAGTTTGATTAACTTTATATTTTTATTTTTTATTTTATTTTATGGTGTATACGCCATAGCATTTTGGATGGACCACTATTTTACAAATTTGAGTGGATCTTTGTGTGTTTTAGTTAACCCTCAATCCTATACTGAGGGTCTTTTTTGTTTTTTTCTTTGAAAATAAATCCTTACTTTGGTTTGCAGCCCTTGTTATCTACTACTGTAGTTTTTGTGTTTAGTATTTTTATTGTTATTTCATTTCATAATCCCAATAAATCTATAATATGTTTTGTGTTATGACAACAGAATAAACATTGTTGTTTGATTATTGAAAGTTGAGATAAAAAGTTGTCAAGACTTACTCTAATGACACTAGGTAACGCCATAAAATTATTGTTCAATGGCTTTAATGTATATATACAATAACTATAAATCATAATCTTATATTGTATCATATTTACATAGCCGATTTTTTCACTCTGTTTTTTTGAGCCAAATCCGAAATATTCACTATTCTATAACTTACCTTATTTTTTGGAACCGGATTTTTCTTCCGACTTTTTGAAATAAAATCGGTTTATTGCTGATGCTTTGGTTTCCCAATATATTATTATTTCCCGACTTGCTGACTATGAGATTGATTAAGAGACTGATAGAGAATTCCAGTGTAGAGGGTCGTTTAATACACACAAATACCACCCGGTAAAACTGGATTTTATTTGCCAACTTATGGCGGCTAGTGGACTTGGTATCAGGAAGCTTGAGGATCGTAATGAAGCTTAACATGGCTGTGGAGATATGGGCAGGGAACATATGGGAAGAAAGTTTCAGGCTATGTGAAAGGAAAAAGTTTATATGAGGTGTCAAAAACCCATCGAAAAAGGTTATTTCGTCGGTAGAAAATTCTCCAATTGATCATCTTGACCTTGATACATATATGATATAAAAATAAAAAATAAATTTCAAATCTTACAAATAGTGTATTTCGTAACACATTATCTAGACCGTCAATTTTCAAGACTTTCGAGTGCTCATAGATCTGCTAAATTTGTGCTATTTTCGGAGCTTTCAATTTTATTATACGGATAAAAAATAGACTTTTAGGCTATGATAAGAGTTTTGGTATCAAAATTATATCTTTTGATGAGATTTTGAAGTGCTCCTTGTCCTGATTGCTGAAGGTTGACA